CTTTTCAAGGTGGATAATCAGAATCATTACACTCCTTGAGCACCCCCCCCCAACCTGTTTCAATGAATTTCAGTGAGTCATTTCTCTTGTTCAGCTTCACCAGCAGCTTGGCTAAGTTCATTGAACCAGAAGGGCCAGTAGCACCCCAACTACACATTGTCACACACAGATGGACTATATGGGAGAGCTGACTCTGCCAGTCCAAAAGAAGGAAAGTATAGACTAACGTGAGGGACTGGCATATTCCACACGGTGTCTACTTCAGCCCTCAGAGGGGAAATGTTGCCGTCAATTAAAAATACTTTTATTAGTTGAAAAACCTATAGAATAAACAATACCAAAACAAGGTCTACTGGGTTCTTTTACAAATTGACCCTTAAAATGACATCACCCCCAACTAGATCACTTGTATGACTTTTAATTTAGTCATCATTTAAACTTTATTATTTAATGGTTGTAAATCCTAAAATTCATGTAATCTTAACACAAACTGAAAAATCAAGGCTTGATATTTCAAATGTATGCTTATAAAGAGATTAATGGGAAAATAGAGCTCTTCTCAAAGTATTTGAGATATATTTAAATCCTCCCCATATTTTCTTTCAGTAAGGAAATGTGTACTAATATAGGTCTAGAGTCCTAGAAAAAAATTCTGCCAAGTTCACTGGTGTGAAATTCCTTGTATTAAACTCAACAATGAAAGGAATCTCACACTTTAATCACTGATAATTAATAGTTAACAATATAAACAGAATCAGCTTTTTTGGTTGAGATTTGAAGTAAGCAGGTGATGCTTTTAAAATAGAGAAAAACCAAGGTTTGAAATTACAGTCATTAATTATCTACTTATAACCTGCAGAGGGCACTCAAGTCCCTTGAAGAAAAGGTTAAAAATTTTAAGGATTAACAATTTTTGATTTTTAAAATCATCATCTTCATTACCAGTATTTATCAAAAACAATTTTCTTTTTGAGAAAAAACTATCATCTAAAAAAAGGACATTTAAAGGAAATATATAGTTTTCATAATTTTACTTCCTAATAGAAAAACCTATCTTTCCATTCCTGGGCATTCGGCATCTGTTAAGGCTGGAGCATCATATACTAACACACACTGATGTCAATTACACAAAATATCCAGGATCTACAAAAAATCAACCCAGACCTCAGAGTATCATACTTCTGAGATGGGAAGCTAGTGAATAAGTTATGCCACAGTCCTTATCCAGGATACCAACGGACAATGTGTTACATCAATAAAGTAGGTGGTGAAGAGAAAGAAAGGCCGGTAGAAAGCCAGCAGCTCTTGTCTAAGACAAATCTCATGGGACTTTTTTAGCAATTTTCATTTTAATGAATTTCTTCATTATTATGAACTAACAAGACATGTAGACATATCTGAAGAGATGTCACAATATTTTTCTTCCCCTGAAACAATGCTGGAATGACTCACAGGTAAACTCAGCTGAACAGGCATGGAATACACTTCAGAAACACACAGATACCTATGTTGCATCTATGCATATTCCATGATGGCATATTTTTAAATAGTGAATATTTTATTGCCTAGTTATTACATGGGGAAAGTAACTACTAAAAACATGTTTCTTGGCAACATAACCATGGACTCTTGCCCTTTAACAGTATCTTCTACATTTTTTCTGATCCCCCAAAGTATCTGAAAACTGATGGTTAAATTAGGACTATAGGAGGCTACTATGTCACAAATTTATGTATGTGTTTCTTTGAGTTATTTTTATTTATAAATTAATTACAAAATTGCAAAAGATTTGAGTAAAAAAAGCATAAGAAATCATTTAAACATTAGGTTTTATTGTAGATTGCTACTAGAATAATGAATAATTACATAACATTTTATGTTTCTTCCTATTTATAAAGTGAATCATTAATAAAAATCTGATAATTAAAAACAAATTGTTCCAAATAATTGTGTGTATATTATGTATCTTTATATTTTAAAGGTCATGAAGTATACTTGAATAAATCTTTGACATCTTGCAAAATAAATACTAATATTGATAATAGTTTTAAAAAGTGAATTCTTTGAAAAATAGTATGAAACATACCTGAATCCTGATTTTCTTTTCTTAAACTGCACAGACTATTTCAAAATTTAAATATATGAGAGAAAAGATAAAACAAAAGGCAGAAATAGTTAACAGAATGATTATCGAGTATGGGAAATGAATGCAGTTATTATTTAATGAGACTATGAGGCACTACTTCTTCAAGGAAAGAAAAGCTAATAAGATTGCGTGTTGCATGTTTCCCTAACTGGAATTCTGTGCTATGCAACGTGTTTTCCAGTTCTGCTGGGGATGTCTGGGGAGACAAGAAGACACTGCAGTCTCATGAAACACAAGTGTTTTCTTGGCATAACTGTAGCCACTCCTTTGATTCTTGGGTTATCTGGGGGCAGTAAACACGCACAGGAAACAAAACACGAAGTTGTATTTGGAAGATAGCCTTTGTTTTTTCTCTTTTCAAAGCCCATGATTCTTAATATCATTGTTATGCAGTGCAAAGAAGAAATGTTTGTTCTTTTACGTAAGAAATACACTTCATTCGGTATTCAATTGACTTTCTAACTTAGCAGACAAGACTTTACATCTTCAAAAACTGAGACTAAATTGCATTCTTGGCCCTTGCTTTAAAAGGTTATAGAGAATAGACACACAGGCTGGGAGTGTTCTAGTGATCTCCCTAATCTCAGTTGCACTTTGTCAGAACGAGGTAACTGGTGGTTAAGGGAAATACCCTAGATCAAAGGGGGATTAATCAGCGACCGAATCCTTGCTGAATCAACCTGTCATTCAAGAAAATTATTTCCACGGAACTTAGCAGAGGATTGAAGGTATTTGCATAACAGCAACCAACATACTTCAGCCAGGTTAAAAGGTTCAGAATTCATCCCATGTTTAGCTTTTTGCCTCCTTTTCCTTTCAGCAGCCTGGTACAATGGTTTCTAATCTGATAATACAGCTAACTATCTCAACGATGTCAGAACAGGAAAGTATTCCAAAGTTTGGATGAGGGATGGATCAATTTCACTTTCAGCAGCTCCTAAATCTGATTTGTTGGAATTTAAGATGTAATCCTAAAAAGTCCCTTAAACCTGAGGGCTATTTATTAACATCCCTTTTTGACCTTTGTCTTAGAGACAACTTCTGTGAGGGGCAGTCCAGGCAGAGGTTTTGGGTGGCAAACCCACCTATCCACCTCCCAGGGGTAATGTAAGAATCTATGAATGATTGTTAAGGTTTTTAAATATGGTAACAACAACAATAACAACAACAACAACAACGACAACAAAATTAGCAATGGTTACTATGCCCAGAATGTCTGCTGTTAACACAGCACAAGAGATCTAAGACCACAATATTTTAACGTAGAAATACTGAGATGGCATGAAAGAAAATGATTCTGAGATGGGCTAAGGTTTAAATAAAATTAACTGCTCCAAGAATGCCCAAGAAGCCTATTTGCTTTCGAGTTGACAGGCTCCATTATTTAATTGTATAAAACATCCCCAATGACTAGCTGCTATAGTGTGCGTTTTAAAACAGTGCTTAGCAAAAAAGTGGAGAACAGGCTTTACTCAAATCATGACCCATCTTTTCTAGAGTTCATTCTCAGATATTTGAACAATTTTTTAACCCTTTGGGTTGAGTAAGAATACTTACAACACAGGTATCAGATTTTATAATCATATTGTGTCACTAAACGTGAATTTAGCACTACTGCGTCTAGAGCAGGTCTCACAATGTCCAAAGCGCTCACTGGAAGTCGACACTCATATTCACTGCACATGCAAAACACCTTTCAAGTTAAAAAAATGCAAAGAATAGCTATCAAAGAAAATGAATAAAATCCATAGTGAGATAATTTTTTAGAAAATGATTGAAGTTTTAACCAAAGAAAGGACTCTTAGAGTGTCTTATAGCTTAGAATAAGAACTTGTCAATCACGATTAAGCTTCTGGAATCGGAATCCCTTTGAAATGCAGCTGTTTCTTCTTTAATTGTGGCAGTGGACTCTGAAGAAAAGAAAGGTCCAGCCTTAAAGATGAGTAAGGAATACAAAATAGCTCAGGATTAGTTGTGGAGTTCAAAGGTCGCTAATTACACTAAGGAGTTCCCAGACACAGGGAAAACATTAAACAGGTCACCTACCAAACCGGGAACAAGCTTTGTCTTCAGAAATTATCCTGAAGTGACAGGTTTCTAGACAAAATCAGAAGCATCAGTGTGGCCAGCTGATCTCAATGGATGAAAATGTGGGCTGGCTTTGAGTTCCACAGTGTAGTGTTAGAACGGAATGGCAACAGATGGCATTGGTTCCCCATCACCCCCATGCTTTTCTAGTAACCCCTAGATTTTCCCCAGGTTTCTAGAAATGTCAAATTAGAGGTCACTGGTTTTTCTAATTTGTTTATGAAGAGTTTGCCTCAAGGATTACACATTGAATCTTTCCTGCTCATTCGATAAGTGTGTCTTGTCTACCATAGCCCGATTTGTTAAGCATTTGTACAATCAAAATTTCCAAACAGGCCCATTAATAAATTAAAGTGAAATGTTAAGCTTTGAGTTGAAGAGTGATAAAAATCCATTACAGAACAGTGTTTTCTGACAAAAGAAGTTTTCATCACGCCCTCCCTCTGGGTAGGTCAGGGTAGCTAAGTCCTGGTCAGACAGCTACTCTCTTCCCTTTACTCTGGAAGACCCTGAAATAATAAGCTTCAACAGAGTAAAATAAGTGTTAATATTTCAAAGTTATTACGATGAGGCTTATTATTTATTCTAGGATAATGTTTTGAAGGCAATAAAGGTTTAGAATGAGTAGGAATGACTGTAAAAATTGTATTTCAAGTCCTAAGTTTATATACTTTCCCTTCAACGACTAACTTTACTTCTAAGAATTAGCAGCTTCTTCTAAGCCTTTAAAAAAAAAAAAGACTCAAGAGAAAAAAAAAGACAAAAAGAAACAGAACCCAGAATAAGTTTAATTAAATATTATTCTGTAATTCATATTTTTTCAGGCTTCTAAATTTGGCATCAGTTAAATTCCTAGGATCTTTAGATTTTTTTTTTTAAATAGTCACTTAAAGTTTAATTTGATGACAGTATGCTGCTCTGAAAAAAGAATATGACATGTAATTGTCAAAATGGGAGAAGATAAGGAGCACAGCTAGACAGTTTGGAAGGAGGCAAGAAAACAGTAAAAAGAAAATCATAGGGACAGACTTAAAGAAAAAAAGATTGCTATATTAAATAAGTCTAAATGATAGCCTGAGTTCATTCATTAACAGATTTTAATTAAACAAATGCCATAATACCTGAAATTATTTTTAAAGCCTTATCCAAGGGCACTAAATGATCATAGATCATTAGGCTTATCTTCTGAAGTTACTGCAGCCTGACATCTACTGGCATCCCAAACACAGGCATTCTGGCATATTATTAAGTTTGTTACAGCAGCCCTAGAGGGGTTAGGGTCATAGCTCAGCTGGTAGGGTGTTTGCCTGGCAAGCATGAAGCCCTGAGTTCAATCCCTAGAAGGGCACAGGATAGGGTAGTACAACACTGTAATCCTAGCACTTAACAGGGATCATCCTTAGCTACACAGTGAGACCCATGCCAGCCTGGGATTCGTGAGACTCTGTCTCAGAAAGTCAGTAACTCTAGACCATCAAATAGAATTATGGAGGTTTATTAGCTAGCAGGAGAGATATGATAAAGAACAGGTTACTATTTGAACATTATCTCATTATTTCCTACTGGATGCTTTGAAAGAAACAATTCATGATAATTTTAACCAGACCATGGGTATTCAGTAATAGCACGCTGTTCATACTGAGGTTTGGACAAGCACACAGTTTTCTTGTAAATCAACTACAACCCATAGGATGGCTGCCTAAACCTGCACTAGGAGAATGCTGAACTCTTAATTGAAGGGGGTCTGGTTGATGTACTGTCTTGCCATGGGACAGGAAGAACGTGTGGCACAGAGACCCAAGACTAGTCTTAAGCAAAGCCAATCACTGCTTTTATATATTCTGAGTCATACTGGCATGAAATCAGAGGATAACAACAACAAAAAAGGAAACGTTAGCCTTAAAAATATTCTTTCACTGTATTAGACTAAAAACATAAGATACGAATGTTTTCATAAAGAAATAAGTAATATTTTAGTCACAGGTTATGTGAATACATGCAAAAAATTAAAATACTATGATTCTACTAGAGAATGTGACCATCATATGAATCCTTTCGAATATGAAAAAAAAAATCATGGTAACAGTGATACATATGTTACTGGAGCAGGTGCTTTAGAATTCCAGATGTAATAATCAGAAGAAACGAGTTTCCGATCTACAAAAGGAAAAAGAAAAGAAATTAATGATAAAAATGTTTAACCTTAGCAAAAACCCAATAAGAGAACAAAGCCATTAGTTTTTTAATTTGTAGAGTGCAGTCATGATGTCATAATAACTTTGAAATATTAACACTTATTTTACTATGTTGAGGCTTTATTCTCTTTGAACCAAAGTTTTATAAGCTATAAAACTAATACAATTATGCTTACTTGGAAACATACACATTTTTATTACTGTATATTATTGACTATATAATTTAGCTTTTTAAACCTTTCTTCATGCTTTTCAAAAAGTACACAATATAGGCTATATTATGCTCTTTTTTCTGTTTTGATAATATTGGGAGGCAGCACAGAATACTGATAAAAGAACAGGCTCTGGTGGCCAGCCACCTGTGTTGGAATCTCAGCAATGACAATTGCTACCTCGATGGTTATCATCTTGTCTCTGTTCCATCGGTATCTCTAGTCATAAAACAGAGTTATCAACACTTAAGGTGCTGTGAGGCTTGATGACTTAAGATGCATAAAACAAATAGAAATTATACCTGGCACACCATAGGTGAAAAATGCTACTATTAAAACAAACATTTTCACTAAACTATTGCAGAACCAACCCATATATTCAGTGTGAGGCAAGATGGAGATTTGAAGGGATGAAAGGACAGGCAGCGGTTCATCTGAAATGAACTCTTCATTCAGTATTTGTATATAAAGGACAAGCAGAAGCTGTGTACGGCAGCATGAACCTATCATCCTCAGTACTTGAGCATCTGAGGCAAGAATCTGGTGAGTTGGAGGCCATCCTGGACTATACTGGTGAGACTCTGTCTAAATGAACAAATAAATAAATAAATAAATAAATAAGTAAATAGGGTATATTACTAATGTATTAGACAAAAGAAACTTTCTAGTCTTAACTATGCTTTCTAAAATTATATTCGGAAAATACTAATAAAATACTTAAATATATTTTAGTTATTATCTAAAGAGATAACATTTCTCATACGAAAATATTCATTTGTTTGTATTTAGACACTATAATGATTGTTTAATATTACACTTTCATAAAAGCACATACATGCTATGAACATGCCTTCATCAGTTTCAGCACATATACACTATGGACATGCCTTCATCAATTCATCTCAAAACAGCAGAAAAACGCCAGAGAAAACACAGGAACGACATGGAGGTAAAGAATACTGGATTATTCTGATTCCATTCCACAGAATTGCTGCCATTTAGAGACTGCTTACAGTTCTGTAGTTCAGAGTTTTCTATTTCTTCTGAGGCATTCAGGTATAATTATGGTCTTGTCCTAGCCTTCCAATTTTTAGGGACTTTAATCTTTAGCTTTAGAAATCTCAGTCTGAAACCACGCTGTAGCTCAGTGATAGAGCACCTGCCTACCATGCATGAGGCTTGAGTTGCAACTCAAGCACTGCCCAAACCAAACAACAAACAAATGTACCTAACTAGAAGAAGTTTTGTAAGTTGGATTATTCCTGTATAGATTTAAGACATTCTTCTCTCTGTAAGGGGGACACACCCCCTACTTTCTCTAGCTACTTCATTCTAGCTGCTTTTCTGTGCCACCTGAATGTACTTAATCTAAATTAAATAATTTTAAGTTCTGTTTTTCACCGAGTGATATATTTGTCTAAAAATATATACATATTTTTACATAAAGTAGTTGGTACATACAAGTGTACTTTACCGTCAAGGTCAGTGAAGGCAGAAAATCATCTCCTATTGTCTGCCCATTAGTGAAATAGAGAAGGCCGGGCGGTGGTGGCGCATGCCTTATATCCCAGCACTTGGGAGGTAGAGGCAGGCGGATTTCTGAGTTCGAGAGTTCGAGGCTAGCCTGGTCTACAGAGTGAGTTCCAGGACAGCCAGGGCTACACAGAGAAACCCTGTCTCGAAAAACCAAACCAAAAAAAAAAAAAAGAAAAAAAAAAGGAAATAGAGAAGATGCTAAATAATGTCTACTGGCTATGACATTTACTAAATATAACTGAAAATAGACATATATTTTCAAACCTATATATTAAGCTAAATGCTCAATAAATACAATTATTTATAAAAATCATAAGGTACATAATATTGCCATTTCTACTTCATTAACTTTTTTATTACATATAAAAAGGGTGCATGTGTTCATGAGTGTCACAGGACAACGTTTAGGAGTAAGTCTCTCCTTCCACTGTGTGGGTCCCAGAGATAGAACTCAGGTCATCAGGCTTGGCGTCTTTATCCACTGGGCCATCTGGCTGGTCTGCTGGAACATGGTCTAAGAGTGGAGTTGTATGGAACTTTGAGTGCATGTGAAAAAACCGCAAGAGAGCAAGACAAAAGTCTTGTGATCTCAGTTTCTTCAAAAAGATGGAATTGTTGTTGGAATGTGCTTTCATGTCCTTCCCAGGAGTAGCAAAATAGGAGTGACTTTACTTTAGATTGTTCATTACAACTGGATATTGTTATTGTTTATATACCTCTATGAAAATACATGTTTTTGCCATGTGTGGCTTGACTACCACACGCAGCTTGCCCTTGTGATTGTCACTTCATTCATGTGACTCCTCTTAACACTCAGAGTAAAAACTGTCCGATGCTTTGGATAAAGCCAGCTACTGCATGAAAGTTTAGTCAACCTCATGTTTAGGCTCCATTCCCCCAGGTCTCATGGCCTTTAGAGCAGTAAATAGTTCTCTATCACTTTTCCTTTATAAGTTAAGAGACTAAAACTTTAAGAAGTTCATTAGCTTTTCAAAAGATACACAGAATAAGACATTGAAGCCAGATAAGAGTTTAATATAACCAGAGCAAGGCAAATCCACATATACTTTATATACTAAAGCCCACACCAATTGGACTCTGCTCACCCAGACTGTATTCAAACAGAAGACAGGTAGCAAGACAAAGTTCACAAAGGGTAATGCGGGAGTGGATCAAGTCACAGAAACTTTTATAAACCATGATTATTCTCCTATCTCCAAGTTTCATTACACGTTAATCTTACCTTAGGCGGTGACAACATATCCCCATTTTAATTCTTTAGTTTGAATCTATATGACTTACATGCACTTATTTTTGGTTTTCCTGATGCAAAAACTTGAACTGAATGCTGATCTGCATAACATCCAGTGAGTGTATAATCTGCAATCCTAAAATTAAGCTGGGGAGATTAGAGAAATATTCAGTTGAAGTGATATCATGTCCATATTTTTTCTTTCACCACTTTTAAAGCTTCACCTGATAGTTCACAAAGTTTATACACAAATATTAAACTACAATCATGAGAACACATAATAAATGTGTGCATTCCCCCTCTGTACTAGCTCTGTTCTTTCTAAGTGCTTAACACATACCAAGTACTCCACCAATGTGAACCGTGGGCGCACAGTGAAATATGTTGAATTATCAGTACTCAGTATGGTGCAGTAGAGCTGGCATCTGAACTAAGAACTGCTCTTTCTGCTGTACTGTCTGATATATTGCATAGTCTTTTCTCCCTAGCAGGCTATCAGTGATAAATTCAGATCATACTTTTAAAATTAATTAATCAAATTCTATGTGTATAGGTGATTTGCCTGCATTCATGTCTGTATCTGATGCCCTCAGAGGTCAGAAGAGGGAGCTAGATCCCCTGAAACTGGAGGTACAGATGCCTGTGAGCCACCATGTGGGTGCTGGGTATCAAACCTGAGTCTTCTGGAAGAGCACTCTCAGCAAGTGTTCTTAGCCACTGAGCTATGTCACAAGTCCCAATCATATTCCTTAAATGGCGGAATGTATACGCTCTTTAAGAAAACACAGAAATGCAATCACAACAAGAAGCAGCAGTTTACCTCACGCTTGGGGAAGTGGCCTGCTGTTCTTAATTTCTTTTTTTTTTTCTTTTTTTTTGTTTGGTTTTTCGAGACAGGGTTTCTCTGTGTAGTCCTGGCTGTCCTGGAACTCACTCTGTAGACCAGTCTGGCCTCGAACTCAGAAATCCGCCTGCCTCTGCCTCCCAAGTGCTGGGATACAAGGCATGCGCCACCACCACCCGGCTGTACTTAATTTCTTGATAACCAAAGTCTAACTTTTATAGACTTGTTACCAAGTTATCCCTGCCCTCATCTAGAAAACCCTTCTAAAATGAAACTTACAGCTCTGGGGTCCATTGGTGATGTGAGGTCCCCATGGTATACACCAGGTATTCAGCTGAGCTGTAAGAGCTGACACATTTTTTTGTGTGTGCATGTGAGTGTACTAATTTTTAGACCTCAAGAATCTCTTATAGCAATTTATTAAGAACAAAGAACTTGTGCTTGCTTCAGTGTTATAATTTTCAGTGCTGGAGTTTATGTAGACAAGGCTCATTTCCATATTTACTATATGATTTTAATCAGATTGGAACTGGTTAAGTAAAATAAAATGAGAAAATTTTTGAAAAACTATCTGTGGTGCGCATACAATGTAGTAACATTTCACATTTTTTTCTAGGAAAAAAAGTAGGAATTTTAATAATCCTTAAAACAAAATAGTACACAAAGTCATAGCACACAGAGGCAAGACGAGCTCTCAGCAGTATACAGGAGAGAGACCCCACTACTGCTGCCTTTGTGGATCTCCCATTACTGGCTTCCCTGAGAGTACAGTGTTGTGTTTTCCTGTAGCCTTCCTGGTTACTCCTGCAATTTTCGTTATTAATGCCTCTGAATTTTCCCTTATTCTGTTTTATTTATTCTGATCTTATTCATTTCCTTGCCTCAACCTTTTCTTTTCCAAGGGTACTCCTAAGTCCTTATATTTGGCTGCTCTCTCAAGTGAATCAAGTTCTATGGTTTTAGCTGCCTATTAGACACTTACATTAAGATATGCTGGTATTATCAGATATACACAATACATATATCGATACACACATTCAGCAAATATTTATGTACAACAAATATTTATGTACTAGGCACTGGACTAGATGTTGAGAATAAAACAAATAATAGTAAGACTCACACAGCCTCGGTCCCCATGTACTTTCCCCTCATCCACTGCAGACTAACACTTATAAGGGAACCATTCTGAAAAACTAAAACACCTACCAATGGAATAAAAGATGCATATCCTCTCTGTTCCAACCTGAATTACCTGCCCTTTCTATGTAGAACTTATATTTCTAGCACAGGCTTCTGAAACCTTGACTTCTCTTCACTCTCTTAAGTCACTTTAGAAAATATGTATTATGTTTATGTAAGCATGTGTACTATGTGTGTTGTTGTGAGTGTGTAAATACAGGCATATGTGTACTATGTGTGGATGGCGAGGTCAGAGGACAATGTTTGAGAGTTGGTACTTTCTACCCTGAGTTTTGACCCACTGGGCATCTTACTGTCCCTTAACTTTCTTTTCAGATGAAGGCATTAGTCAACTTTCATGCGTCTCTTGTCCTCAGACCTGCTTTGGCCAAAGGGACCCGTGCTTTCTCTGAGACACCAAAAGCAATTAGTACTAATACGTCACTAAACCACACTGTTGGAAACGTCCTAGAAACCAAGGGCTCTATCTTATTTTTGAACACAAATCCAATTTGACAACTAAGAGTTGGGTAGTTTAAACTGTAATGTTAAGTTATTCTTAACTACTTCTCTTAAAATTTAAGTATTTAGTGAAACATAAAAATGACTGCTACTGGCCAAGTGTGCTGATTCGTGTTTATAATCCCAGTGTTGAGGACAGGCTGAAGCAGGAGGCTACCCAAGCTTGGGCTATGGTAGACACCCTGTCTAACAGCAAAAATAGAAGAAAGAAAAAAAAAACCAAAACAAACACCACAGAACTAACACAACCTCCACAAATGTTTCTTGAAAAAGACTTAGCTACACAAAAAGCACAAAAAATTTTTAAATTTCTGGAAAACAGTAAAACTCAAATATATATGCAGTTTAGAAAGAAAGGTCATGGTTCCAACACACTGTTTTGGTTTTTTCTTTTTTTTCTTTTTTTCTTTTTTTTGTTTTTTTCAGACAGGGTTTCTCTGTATAGTCCTGGCTGTCCTGGAACTCACTCAGGCTGGCCTGGAACTCAGAAATCCACCTGCATCTGCCTCCCAAGTGCTGGGATTAAAGGCGTGCGCCACCACTGCCTGGCCCAACACACTGTTTTACATATTTACCTTTATATATGCTGTATTTCCAATACATATGTGATCAAACGGCTGCTTGTTATGGCCCTTAACTCCAAAAGTTACAGTTCCTGAAAGACTAATTTCCATTGATTTGGGGAACTTCTGGCCTAAAACCACAAATGCACTAATCAGTTATTCTAAAACAAAAAATTCTACAGGAAATGAGAAAAAAATTAGTAAACAAAACCTTGCTCACCAATAATCCAGACCAATAAGCTTTTTTCTCGAAATACCTCAAGTTGACCAAAACTAGCTTTGTATTCCAAATGGGTAATTGGACCTCTTTAAAACAAAACAAAAAACAAAACAAAACAGAAAAAAAAATCTCAGACAAGGTTTTAAATAGATGAGTCAAAGCTTATTACTATATTTACATCATAAAAGCAGATCTGTATTCTAATTGTAGAAAAGAATGAATAAATGCAGATCTTAGAAAACAGCAGAAATCACATGAACATTCACAGTAACTGTATATTTTACATTAGTATTTCTAGAGACAACTATAAAATGATATGGATTACATTCATATCACATGCATGGGTGCAGCATTAAAATTATGATTTTATTATTTAAGTACACTTTGTAAAGAGCTAGTCTGTAGACTCCACTTTAAAAGTAGAATGGATCGATGTTATAACTGGCTAATTTGCCAGGTTGTTGTTGGTTAAGACTGATTTATATGTACAGTTTGGAGAAACTGAGAGGACAGCAATTATAGTGTCACATTATTTATTGCTACCTGTTGTAAAAAGGTATGTGAGCTTCACAGATTTCAAAATTATTTCTCACACTTTCATGTAGTTTTAAATTAACTGTTATTTTTAGTTGTAATCCTTCTTCATTCATGTGGTAAGCACCCAATATTGGTGGGACAGGAACCTGAAAACAGACAATCATTACAGTCAGGTATGGCTTTAGTAGGTAGAGGGCTGTTCTACACTGCTTTCACAACAATGGTGGATCTACACACATCCTGAAGGTGGAATCTTCTGCCTCTCTGAACAGATATGAGAAAGGTTATCTTACACACTTGCTTCTGCTCTTGCTCGTCATGATCTCAGAACTGCAGCACAGGTCATACTCCACAAACACTAACTGTTCTACCCACAGTTCTAGCTGCTCCTCTCCTACCCTGTGACTGCTGTTTCTCCTCTCCAACCCCTCCTCAGGAATGGCTTAAATGGTCAGTAATGATTGAAGAGGAAACTGTCTGCGTGCTGGTGTGAGTTGTTTGGATGTTGCTATTTGGTTTTTGGAGACAGAGTTTCTCTGCATAGTTTCAGCTGTCCTGGAACTTGATTTGTGGATCAAGCTGGCCTTGAATTCATAGAGATTCGCCTGCCTCTGCCTCCTGAGAGCTGGGATTAGAAGCTTGCTCTACTTACTGGTGCTTTTGAAGCAAGACACAGGGAGGCTCTCCTGTATATGCAGGTCCTAGAGCTGCAAGAGCATGTATAAGCAGAGAAACCCAACAGACAGACAGACAGAAGCACAGACGAGATAGCAGAGATTGTCAGAAGAGAAGGATTTGACTTTGGTTCTAATTCTCAGGTAGCCTAAATCTATTTCTTCTCTTGAATGATAATGAGAATTCCTGTTAGCCTCTCAAAATAAATGACTTCTAGTCAATCTACCTTGAATAAGATTTCCTAATATGCTGGTTGATAATTAGGACAAGAGACAAATGACACAATATAGTAGGAAACATGTTAGGCTTTGAGGGATCTGGCTTCAAACCCAGGCTTTGCCACTATCAGTCAGAGGACTCTGTGTGGGTCATTCCGCTTCTCTAAGATTTTCCTCATATAAAAGAGAGGTAACATCTACTTTAAGATTTGTTGAAACTACTAGAAAAAGTTACACAAAGAGCCTAGGACGGTTTACCTGAGAAGTGTAGTGGCATAAGTTGAACGACTCTAAAGGGGGAGTGAATGGAAATTTATATGGCCCACTAAATGCATAATCGTCCATTGTGTCAATGCTACTAGAGGTCAGAATGGCAGAATCCAGAGAAGTCACACAAGGATGAACAATAATATCTTGAAGTGGAGACCCATTGGTGGGGAGATTCAAGCTGATGGTAACATTTGGCATGATTCCTTCCAAGTCACACTGTAACACAAGAAACAAGTATTACCAAGATCTTAAAACGAGGCAGTTTCTCTGAGGGCTTACTGAATTCAAGTCACTCCTCTTAATTTAACTTCTCTCTCTAGGCATTCTTCTGTCTTCTGATTAACAATTTGATATCCTGTTAATCAAGCCAGTGGTCAGAGACCCTTCACAGACCCCTTGGCTCACCTTTTAGCTCCTATAAAAGCTAGTTTTCTCTGGTTTCTCTCAGGCTCCTTTGCAATCTTATTTACACAGGCCCTCCCAACTTTTCAGCTCAGTAGCTGTATCTAGATTTGCTTTCTCCTAGTCCATCCAATCTTCATCAGTGCCAAGCACACTGATAAATTGTAATTCAACTTCTGTTATACTGAATCTGCATCCAGATAATTCACTGGTTCCTTCCAGTGTTTGGTTCCCATCTAACTCTCATCTTCTACCCCTTGACTTAAATATACAGAAATATACAGGATATTTCTGTATATTTACAAATTCTATTACAAATATACAGAAACCTTCCATTTTTCCTGAATAAACCATACTGTTTTGTACTTCCACATACACCGTAACACCTGCCAGTTCTTGTATTTTTCCCCCTTAATAGCATTTTGCTAGTCTGGTGTAACAGCTTTGTGGGTAAAAGCACTTGTAGCATAAACAATCCAAGCAGTCTGAGTTTGATTCCGGGACTCACCCGATAGGAGAGAACCACAACTCCTCCAAGTTGTCCTCTGATCTGCACATGTGCATTGTGGCACCGTGCACCGACACTCACCAAATAAACATTTATAAGAAACCCTTGCACTCTTTACACCTAGCTCACTTCGTGATGTGTAAGCCTTACACTGTGCTGTCTTACTGATGGTATACTTTTGCATGTAGACACTCCCCTGTGTGAGTTAGGTTAGTTTGATAATGGTAGGGTAAGCATGAGGGATTTCATTATTCTTGGGAGGTCACGGAAGGCAGGTAAGACAGCTCCAAAGGTCTTTCCATGAGTTCCTGTTATGGCTACCAGGGCCAGACAGGGTACTTTCACAGTCCTTGCCTTAAATTCCTGCTTTGAGGTTCAAGAGGCTGAAATGACAGTTCTCAGACTTCTCTGTGAACTCTGATTTCTCTACCTATTCCAGGCTCCAGAATGAAGTATTGAGTGACTTGTTTCTGAAACCAGAAGAAAAGAGTTATTCCCCAACTCCTCTGGTACTTGAGGTTTACCATCTTTACCTCATAAATGACACCAGCAAATCATACTAGTGTAAAATGTGGGTGCAGGGAGAGGGGTATAGTCAGGATCTTCCTTTGTACCTTAATTCTAACTTGACATTTACTTCCTATTTTACTTTTAATTATGTTTATGTGTTCTGTGGGCAGATATGTACAATGAGTACAGAGTCTGTGGAAGCCAGGACCAGAAGACAATGAATCCCCTGGAGCTGGAGTTACATGCAAGTTAGTAGTGAGCTGCCTGGCATGGGTACTGAAAACCCAACTTGGGTCTTCTGCAAGAGCAGCAAGCACTATTATTCACTGAGCTACCTCTCCAGCCTTGATTTACTCTGTAAAGTACTGGATCCAACCAGCCAACTGATCCATAAAAGTGGTATTGTTTGATTAGACACGGCATTTAACAGCAGGCAAATACTTAGTCTGGTTGCTATATAGTCCTCCCCATGCACGGACTACGTGTCGCCAGCATGTAACAGCAGGCAAATACTTAGTCTGGTTGCTATATAGTCCTCCCCATGCACGGACTACGTGTCGCCAGCATGTAACTGCTCATGCTTCTGTTTGTGTCCCTCTTGTAGCTTCTGTGCTTCTTCATAAATCCACTGTTATTCATAGGGGAATCCTAAAAAGGTTTGCAGTTTATACCCTTTTCTAATTTCTTATTTTCCCCAATATTAATATAAAATCTTTCACTTTGTGATGTTTTAAATGTCTGTTTAATTTTATGTCATGTGTGATTGCCTGAGTGTATGTATGCACATCACATGATGTACCTACCCATAGGAGGTCAGAAGAGGTGGCAGATCCCCCGGAACTAAAATTATAGTTGTGAGCCATGATGTGGGTACAGGGAATCAAACCCTGGTCCTCTTCAAGACTAGTGCTCTTAACCACTAAGCCATCTCACTTTGTAAAGTCTGATGTACAATTTAACAAGTATGAATTCATTAGTGTTTCTGTTTCATATTTAAGTACTTCAATAGTACTGAACTGTGCTGGGGTACAGGTAGTAGCTTAGGAAGGTCTTTTTTTCTTCTTCTTGTAACAATTACAAAAATATCAAACTTCAAATTTGAAAGGTAAAATGACAACTATTCTTACTAGAATTTTAAAATATGTGCTTTGTTTGTATATTAGTAAGAATCTAGGTGTGCTTTTGTTATTTATGAGGGAATATACAAATATTTCATAGTAAAGGATATTAAAATTTAAAACACTATTATGTTCATCAAAATTTTCCCTAGCAATGTATCATTCACAATGAGATTAAAAATGGTACCATTACAGAAATTCTCAATAAATTTCCCTCTATCTAGTCACTTAAAAACTATAAGTACAGGATGAGGACTGCCAAGCTAGACAGAATCTGCGTACTCTTTTTAAAAACCGTTTGGCATATACAAATCTGAACCTCAGAATTAGGAACTACAAGAGCAGAAGGCAAAGAAAAGGTTATTTTATTTAAAAATGATAAAAGATTTGCAAAATTATTTGACTTTGGAAAACCACAGAACATTTAGAGGCAAAAGACAACATGAGCAAAATATTTAGTGTTAGGTTGAGGTATACTGCATTCTCCCTCCCCACTTTAAAACATATTTTAGAAAATTACATAAATTTATTTCAGTGTGTGTGAGGATGTATGTATGCACGTGTATAAGCATGTATGCTACAGCACACATGTGGAGGTCAGAGGATAACTTGTGAGAGTCAGTTCTCTCACCATGTGGGCAGCCTTGGTGCAAGTGCCTTTACTGGCTGAGCCATCTTGCCAGTCCCTCCTTCTTTATTTAAAAAAGATTTCCATTGTGGTAATTTGAGCCAGAACTAAGGATAAGAATCATCTACACTTCCAATAAAAACAACCCCCCCCAGTCAACTTATCAGTAAACAGAGAAATGTAAACACCATGCTAATCACAACACATCCATGATGAAAAAAACATGACCTTCTCTCATTATTTCACTGTGCTCATGAGAAAGAGACTCAGATACTTTAAGAGTGATGAATTAGATAGTTTATGATTTTCAAACTTCTTAAAGTAGTTCTTCCTAGTAAGATGGATAATTTGAAAGCAGTTTTGAGCATGGCAGAAATTTTTAGCATACACAAAACTTTTAGGTTACTTTAATTCAAAAAAGTCAATTCCCTGTCTAATTCTGTTCTTAAAATTTATTTTATTCATAGGACTTAAAGTGATTAAACATTGAAGTTACCAAATATATATAAAAAACAAAAAAAGATTTTTGAGAATACTATTAACACATACATGTAGCGTTTAATTGGAGGACTTTGATTTTTGATCATTATTCAACCTGACATTAATCATTGTTATCTGTATTGAAGTTTCCAACTGTTTTCTTACATTTTCTAACTTTAAGACAGATGATGACTCTACTATTGAGTTATTTAAATAAACAAGAACCCTTCTTGGTACTTGATGTAAAGTCAGAGAACTTGTCAACTTCATCTCCTAGAAAATGCAAATTAGATGAATTCACAAGTCCTCTGAAACAACTCATGTTTCATAGTGGACCCGATCCCCTGTCCTGATCTGAAGAAGCCAATCATCAAGCTGTCAGGACATTTCAGCAGCGGGTAGAGACGGGAATAAGAGTGGAACCAAGGTCCCATCAGCCAGCACTGACTTATCACTCATGTGAGTGAGTCATGTTGCAAGCTGATATTCCAACCCAAGTCATACCTTCAGATAGATGACAATGGCCCAAATCAGCACCTTGACTATGGGGGCTCATGAGATTCTACACTGGAGGTTCCAGCTAAGCTGCTCCTAAAGTTTGGACGCACATAACCCTGAAGATAATGTCTATTTTAGGGCAATGGAAGGATTCATTACATAGTAGTCATTAGGTAAACAATTTGCAAGAAATACAGAAAGATAACATAAAATGTCATGGCTGTTGCTAAGGATAACAAGCATATAATTTAAAAATGTAAAGTGCAAGTTGCAAAATGTACTGTTCTTCAGTGTTAAATGGTAAAAAACAAAACACATCCTGGAGAAAACCTCACCTTGCAAGTGACTGTTCCAACAACTTGCCATGTGTCTGCTATATCCTGTTTACCATATTGCATGCATTTTACTTTTTCAGTGATAGAAATAGAAATTTGTGCTTTTCCTTTGTATGTTCCAACTTTCCAGGCTGGCTGTTTTTGCGGCTGAGTCACAGATACAAAATTAATGCTATTCAGTGAATTCTGCAAGTTAGCATCCAATAAAGTACCCAAAGGACAAGCTTGTAGAAGCAAGTCAGGCAACTGACTCAACTTTGTGTTTAGGTCAGTGTCATTTTTCTGACTGGAGTAAAGAAAATCCTGTACCCCCAAAAGCAGTTCCAAGCCTTGTGAAACCCCACTAATACTAATTAGAGGTGGGCGAGGGGTCAGAGCTTGTTCAACTAATGGAACACTTGCAAATATCATGTCATTCCTCAGGAAAGCAATGACTGGCCAGAGCTCTTCACCTCCTACTGAAAGCCCATAGATGGATGTTTTATTGATATGTGAACAGCCATCACGCCTCTCCACGAAGTCCTTATCATCATCCAATAATCTAAGATGAAAGAGTAATGCTTTAAGAAAGGGACCATCTTCAGGTACAGGAACATAATTCATTCCATTGAAGACTTTGGCTCGCTTTTCAACAGTTGGATATCGTCTGCATTAGGGGAACAAAAACATCACAAATGATTTTTTCAAGTAAAATCAAAACGGGAGAATTAAAAGGATTTAAAACACAAGGCAAACAGTCATGACAGTAAGACATAAAGCAACAAATAAATAATACACACTATCAAAGAAAATAACCTGAATCATTAAACCTGTTCCCTTCTGACTGGAGCCAAGTACTTCATGTTTAGTGTGTTATCTCAAATGATAAAATGTACTACATACTACTGAAAATTACTGACTCGATTTATTTAGTTTTTTAAAATAGGTGGAACACATGATTCTAATTCAAAACCTTTGGATTTCAGATACTCAGATTCCTTCTTGGTTGATGTCATGGTTAATCTTGATGGTCAACCCAATGGGATTTAGTCTGTAGAGAAACAGATCTCAGGGTATGTCTGTGGGGCTTTCTGGATTAGGGTGAGGTTGGAAGCCCCACCCTAAATGTGGATGGAATAAAATGGAAAGAGAGAGTGGGCAGTAGCACTCATTGCTCTCTGATTTCTGACTGCAGAAGCAATGGAATCAGCTGCCTCAGGCTCCTGGACTATGACTTCATTCTAAGAGACTGTACCCTCAAACTTTGAGTTAATATAAAGTCCTTTTTTCTTTTAGGTATCTATAATAAGCTTAAAAAAATCCATCCTAGTAGATTAGTCACAAAGAATCGGTTATATTTAACCCTCTAAATTTTTAGATTCATTTATTGAGATGATACTAAGTTTATATAATGAAATAACAGATGTCCTGAAGTTCTTACCAATTCTTGAAAAAATATGAAAGATCATTTTAGTAACAATGGCTTATCTCTCTAGCCCTGGAAGATATTTTGAGATAAATAAAAAAGAAAATCAAATTAATCCTTTATGGTTTAAATGTTCTGGGTAGAATGTAAATTTACTAATTTATCTTCCCCACCACAATACAGAATATGCTTAGGCGCGTTCAGTCATAAGGATCTGTTAGTGACATTGCATTTCCCTGACCCCAAGGTCTTAGCAAGCTCTCTACCACTGACCTAAATCACCAGCTCTTAAATACAGTTTTTCACTTCCAACAAATATATTTTTCTTTATTCCTTTCTATGTTTAAGGTCCAGAATAAAGTTACCCACTAACTACTCAGTTTTTGAGTATATAAATTAACTCTCTGTGATGGCTATTCTTGGTTATCAACTTGACTACATCTGGAATTAACTAAAACCCAGGTGGCTGGATATACCTGTTAGGGACTGTTTTGTTTGTTTCTTAATTAAACCATTTCAAGTGAGAAGACCCATTTCTAATCCAGCTTTTTGAGGTGGGAAGATCCAATTTTCATCTGGGCCACACCTTCTGCTGGCATTCAACACAATGAACATGGAAAGAGGAAGCTTGCTTTTTTTCTTAGTCTGCTTTCCTTCACTCCCACTGGCAACTTCATGCCTGCACTGGCATTAGGAACCTACATCTAGGGGATTCCAGTGTATATAAACACCAGCTGAGAAATCCACCTTCATGGACTGAACAACTGATTCTAGGACTTTCCATTGCTAGACAGCCATTGTTGGGCTAGCAGGACCACAGCCTATAAGCCACTTTAATAAATCCCCCCCCCTTCTCTCTCTCTCTCCACATACACACACACACACACACACACACACACACACACACACACTCACTCACTCACTCACTTAAGCCCATTTTCTTATTTGTGAAACAAATGGTAGGTCAAGGGGTAAATCACAGTAGAAGAGTATGTATTTAGCATGCATGAAACATTGGGTTGAATTTCCAGCATCAAAACAAACAAAAGCCTAGCAAATGGATAGTAACTATAATGTAATTTTTAAAATAATGTTCATAACAATATTATTTAAGATATAAGAAGGAAAATGATCTTAATACAACTATCTTGATTATAATATCAGCTTAAGTACAGCTCAGGTTGGTATTATACCCCATAGCTATAGGGACACTTAAGGCATAAATCCTGTCTTGAAACAAAACCTAGATTAGTTTTCTCTAATAAGATGCTAATGTTTGATAATAATTCAAAATAATGTACTATAATGATTAGATTCTTATGTATTTTTCTGATTGAATAGGGGAAAAATTAGGTAGTACACCATTAGTGACTTCTATTTTTATAGTTACCTGGAGGATAAAATTCTTAAGCATAAAACCCTCTTTTGCCATCTTATATTTTAAATGATAGCCACTATTCTTTGGCATGTATATAGAGAATATACAGTAGTGTGGCTGTTTTGTTACAGGGTATTTGATTACTGTACATACCAATTGTTAGCAAAATATAAAAGCTTAGATACTGTGTTTGACAGATGCAGTTAGCTGTGTCCTAAAGAGACACAATTTGGCAGCAGAGTGGCCTTGAGCTACCCTACCTTAAAGGTGAAATGGTTCAGCCCCTATTGTCTTGGCTTGGAGGTCCCCACCCAACCCATTATGGTGACCTGATTCAGCAAGCCAAGGGTGTAGGGGAGGAGCTAGAGACTTCTTTTATAAGGGACGGACCTTTGATCGAGAGCCAGCTTGCTTTCACTCTGTCTCACTCTCTCTTAGCTTGAAGAATCTTTATGGAAGGAGCTCTGGTAAGAGATAGGGATTTTCTCTTTGGGCTTGCAGGAACAACAAAGAAGCAGCTGGCTGGACACAGGTAAAACAGGATTCTAGGAAAGAGATCTCAGGAGATCTCTTGGGTTTAGAGGAGCTCAAGAGTAACGTGGACTAGCTTGGTAGTATGACACAGATCTCTAAAGACCTAGCAGTTTTGTTGTAAGGAACAGGCTTTTAAATAGATATTTTGTATTTAGTTAGGAAAATAAAGTTACCTTCCCTAGCTAGCAGGTTTTTTCCTCAGTTTAGGTCTCCTGCCTCCCATGTCTTTATTGGTTTAAATATTAGATCATTTCAACGGTTACATTGTTTGCTCAGTGTTGAGGAGAGTAACTGTGATGGTTTGAATATTGGGAGTAGCACTATTAGGAGGTGTGCCTAGTTGGAGGAAATGTGTCACTGTGGGGGTGGGCTTTAAGACCCTCCACCTAGCTGCCTGGAAGACAGTCTGTCCTACCTGCAGTCTGATCAAGATGTAGAATTCTCAGCTCCTTCTCCAGCACTGTGTCTGGCTGGATGATGCCATGCTTCCTGCCATGATGTTAATGGACTGAACTTCTAAAACTGTAAGCCAGCCCCAGTTAAATGTTGTCCTTTATAAGAGTTAGTTGCCTTGGTCATGGTGTCTGTTCACAGCAATGAAACTGTGACTAAGACAGAAGATATTAGCCAGCTGAGACCCTGAAAGAACCTCTCCAGGCCTTCTCTCCTCAAAACATCAACTACTACCATATAACAGGTGAACAACTGACTCAGGTGACTTTGGAGGTGTATGTCTTCTTGTGAGTCATTCATGCTCCTGTAAGTAACCCCAGTAACTACATTGGTTTGCCAAGCTCAACTTGAATAGATTCCTTTGGTCTGTTGCTGTCCTTTAGATCTAGGGCTATCATACATTTCTTTACTTCTTTTTATAAAAGGTTATAGAACATGTGTTAATTCATATCTATTAGCCTTAACATCAGCTCCAAGTGGTCAGAATCTGAAAATGTAGAACTTCACAAAACTAGGAATTCATTCAATACAGAATTAAAGTGACACAGAGATGAATTATGTGGCCCCAACTTGCTACCTCCATAAGACATAGTGAAGTTCACCTAAATATATCTGAATGTATCTTCTAAAGTATATCATATGCATAACCAGGAAAGCATTAAAACTAATGACTTGTCTTTTAAAATATTTTTGTTATTTTTCAATTATGTTTATATATGTGGAGAGGTGGGGGTGGGTATGTGCATTTGATTACAGATGGCTTTGGAGTCCAGAAAAGGATGTTGGGTCTACTAGGGCTACAGTTAATGGCGGCTGGTGAGCTGTCTCACATGGGTACCGGGAATAGGACATGTTCTTAATTACTGAGCATCTCTTCAGCCCTGCATGACTTCTTCAGAGAACTTACTTTTTCAATTAACAAAAAGTCTCACTTCTATTACAATGTTAAGATACAAATACATGCACATAAAATCAGAACACTGGCACAAAAAAAGAAAGTAATAGAACAGAGACAGACCAATGTTTATATGAAGAAATATAGCAAACATCAATAATGCGTCAATGAGGGAGAGTTTACATATGTCAGGAAAACTCAAATAGTATAAAGAAAAAGTGAAATTCCTACTTAACACCATATTCAAAGGCATACTTCAAATGGACTTAGATCTAACAGATAAAATTATACAGAATGGATAAAATGGTATCTTTGGAAAGTAAAGGTAATTCACAGAAAAGGTATTCCAAGAGTATAATGAATATTGTTACAGAAATGTATACAAATAGACATTGGATCTCTTTTATTGGTAAAATTAGAATAAGAGTCAGGGAAGTACAGAAATTCACTGATTTCTAATGAATGTGTTAGCATTCAGGGAAGTTATTTGTCAGTATTTTGTCAAATCAGTACAGACATGTCCTCAGGCCCTATTTGAGGATGTCTCCTATAGATAGCACTGTTCTGAATGGGAGAGGCAATTTGGATCTATCATTAAGGAATGTAAATAAAGAAAACCATGTATTCACACAGATCAAGTGTCTAGACCTGCACTGTCCAATATGGTAGATAGTAGGTACATGTGCTATTTAAACTTAAGCAGAACTAACAACCAATGTGGGTCATGGTGGTTGCATCCCTTTAATCTCAGTACTTGGTAAGCAGAGGCAGGAAGATATTTATGAGTTTGTGGTTAGCCCGGTCTACATAGTGAATTCCATCCAGGTCAGCCCGTGCTACACAGTGATTCTCTGTCTCACAGCAACAAAAACCTAATAACTGAGTTCCCCAGTTATACCACCAATATGCTTACTGGTTTACGTTCTCAGAGATTTAAAATTGGTCCCTTTTTCTATTACGCAGGAAGTTGTATTGTATGTTGCTGCTTTCCAAGATCACACAGCTACTCACTAACACTGAGGCTTCTCAAAAATACTGCTGAGAACAGGAAACAACCTCAAGAACTGACAAATGGGATCACATGAAATTAAAACATTTCTGCAAAGCCAATAAAACTACAAGGAAAGTGTCAAGCAGCAGCCCATAGATTGGGGAGGGGGAGAACTTAGCCACCTATACTTTATAAAGGGGTTAATATCTAGTATAAAGAACTGCATAGTCCTCTCCATAGAATTATTTTGCTAAGATATGGCAAATTCTAAAAGTGGGACCAAATCACATATGTCACCTAGAAAAAGAGTGATTGAAGTTTAATTTTTCATATTTCCTTTTATTTTGCTCACCCACTAGAAGCTGCAAACTATAACGATTTTTAGGAATCATTTTTGTACCAATCTTAAACAGATGGAATTCATTTTAAAGACACAATAATATTGCCGGATATCGTGGCCCACACTTTTAATCCCAGCACTCTGGAGGCAGACACACAGGTATCTGTAAATTCAAGGCCAGCCTGATCTACATATCAAGTTCTAGGATAGCCAGGTATATATGAATCTTGTCTCCAAAGAAATAAATAAAAATAAGAGATACAATACAATAACAGTAACATTAGAAAACAAGTAGCAACATGTGTCAAGCAACTCATTCTTCTCAACAATGTGAGAGAAACGTAGAAAGCTTAACTTGCCCAAGAGCACTCAGCTAGCTGTTCCTGGTGGGAGAGCTGAGATTTAAGGCACCCCAACTCCTGCATAGATCCATCCTTGGACCCATCATGTGTGAGGATCCAGACTTCAATTACCTGGAGAATCTGACGGTGCCACCAAGTGGAGTTCCTGGTTCGTGACGTATGAGCCACACTGCCCGCAGAGCCATGGTTAAACCACCGAAGTATCAGAGCAGTATAGAAACTAAGGTCGCCATCCAGCCAGAGTAGACTCCGCCTTCTGGATGACTATACCAGGCAACGTCGGGGTTCTCCTTGAGCCCCAAAAGCTCACCGGAGATGCTCGCTCTTCCCGGTGAGGTGACTCAAGGCTCCTGGTTCCTCCAGCAGGTTAAAACACACCTCAGAAGGTCTTAAGAACCAGCACCCTGAATCTCAAAAGACTGGAATACTCTTATCGTCCACTTCCGGGATGGCGGCCCGCGAGGCTCAAGGCGCGTCACTCGCTCGCAAACGAGCGCCTCCGCGGCCCGCCAGCCGCACGCTCCTCTCGCCCGCCCCGCGAAGTCCGCCGGGCGCGCGCAGCTCCACTTCCGGCGTGCGAGGCGGTGACAATGGGAGCGGCGCGGGCGGCGCCGGGAGGCAGCTGACAGGCGTCTGCGGCTCCGCTTCATGGCCGCTCTCCCGCGCTGCCTTCGCTGTGCGAGGACCGGGGCAACCCGCAGCTGTGCGAAGCCGGGGCCGGAGGCGGTAGGCCGAGTTGGGACCGGTGAGCGGCGCCGCTAAGGCGCAGCATGTGAAGCGGAGACGGCCTCGAGCGCGGGGCGAGCCTCTCAGCCGGCCGGCATGGCCACGACGGCCGAGCTCTTCGAGGTGGGTCCCGGGGCTCCGCGGGCGGTAGCGGGGGAGGGGCGGGAGCGGTGTGGGTGTTGGTGGGACCCTCGGCCGGCTCGGGTGGCAGGCCGGCCTGTCGTTCTGGCCACGGGACGGACAGTGGGCAGGGCTGACTCGGGAGCTCAGGTCGTGCGAGCCGGGTCTTGCTGTGCGGATCCTCTTGGACGGTGCTGCGGTGGGGTCCTGAATTGAGACTCTGAGGAGCTTCTCCCGGCCAGCGTTCCAACAAGCTTAGAAGCGGCATTGGGGTGCCTGCCGGCTCACCTTACAGTGGAAAAGACTGGCAGGATTCTTTTTAGGACAATAAAGGCCTACTTAGCCTTACCACCGAAGGGAAGCGACACATCTTACTGACTGCATTTAATTGCTCTGGAACCATCCCACTGCTAGTTAGAGGATCCTTGGGGCTGTGGGGGCGTTCACGTGCATTTCTTGAGTGTTTCAATATTTAAACTTGACAGTTGGATTTTGTGGCGTGTCAGTGTCCAAAGCTGTGAGGTTTGAGATAATGGAATGGGATTACAAGACAATGAAACAGTATCTCCTATGTGAAAAAAAAAATAGAAGTAGAGATATGAAGAGAAATGCAGGATACACCATCTCCCCCTTTGGGGCGTGATTACTTCATAGCAACAGAAGTGTAAGTTGTAGAGAACACTGCAGTTCACAGTTAAGAATTTCACCATAGGTGAAAATTGTATCCATTTGGTTTGAGTATTAGCATATTCTGTGGCTTGAATTTTTAAATGCCATAGTTTCCATAAAAATATGTAACTTTTCACTGTTACTTTTTTTTGTTACTGAACCTTGACTTGCAGTCATCCATAGCATAGATACTGCATTTGTTCAGAGAAATAGCATGCTTAAATTGTAAATTGTAATGAAAGTGATTTGACTAAAGGGTTATAATTACACCTAAGAAAATTTTTTTGCTGTTCCTCAGATGTAAATGTCTGGAGGTATATAACATTAGCTTCTCTAATCATAAAATTCTGCTATCTGTTCATGTACACTAGGTCAAGGAAACAGTCTTAATACTCTGAACATTTATTGTGTATCCTTGGTCAAGATACTAGGTAATTCTGTAATTCCTTGTTTCAATTTTTACATCTTACAGGTTTTGGGATCTTTAAATACATTTCATGATAAGCTACTTATTAACAGATAAAACATATTATCCTACTGTTATAATGAGTTCTTTAACATTCACAATTTTCTCTTAGATCATATTATATTTTCTTCTTTAAACATATGTCCAAGATGTGTTCAGTAACTTATTTGAAAATGTATTTTCTTTCCCAGGGATGAAGAAGGGGGAGGGGTGAAGAAATTTCTGTTTTCTTCTCTAGGTCTTGTCATTTAGTGTGTTGTTAAAGTTGTTTAGCTTAGTGACAGCAGTTTTGTAGGAGAGAAAGCCAATGATGGTACAGTAATTGGAAGATTAGTAGAACACACAGCATATTGATAGGTCTCATAACTGTAGTGATCCCACCCCTGTCATTTTGTAGTTGTTTCATCAAAATTAGAAACATAATAGTTACAATGAAATAGTACCAGTTATGTATAATTCTGTTTGTCTTTCCCTGGATGGCTGTGAGTCTAACCCTGCAGTAGGCTCTGCTTGTGAATAAACTTTCATTCTCCAAGTGAAAAGTTGACTTTTTTACTATAGAGAGGAGAGAAAGAAAAAGGCCCCCAGTGTCTGCTGCCATTTCCTGCAGCTGCTGCCAGAAATGTGGGCTGCAGATGAAGTCAGGCAGCCTTTCTCTCCTACTTCCCATTCCAAGTCACAGCTGGAGAACTGGGGAAACGAGCAGGATGTACTCAAGGATATTTTGTTTTTATGCATCCTGGTTTTCATGCCCTTCTAAATAGAATTGTACCTTCATTTTCCACATTAGAGAAATTAAGTGGAAACAAAGTTGAGTTTTGAATCTTATGAAATTTCATTGCTAACTCTGCTTTTTATAAAATCTTATTACTGGTTTGGTGACTCATCTTTTTTTAACAGACAACTTCTGACAATAAAATAAAACTGTAAATCTTTCCTCAGTTGACAGAATGATTTATTAATAGGTGACTCAGTTATTACAATAATGTATATCCTGGAAGTTGCCCAGAATACCTTCTTAGTTTCATTCATTGCTGACAGGTCTTTCTGAAGGAATCTGTCTGTGATGTTTTTAAGTAATAAACTCAGGCTGGCCTATCTGAACTGAGATTCTTCAGTGGTTTGGATTAGTGACATATTTTATTCAGCATATTAAAACATGGCTTGGGTGGTAAATTCTTCGGTTGCTGCCTACATTGCTCTTTTCTACGTACTACTGAAGATACTTCCCTCTCCTTTGTTGACTGTCTCTCCTGTCATTCTTACTGATTCTTCAAATTTCTTTTGGCAGGTTACATTCTATAGGAGAGTTCTTTGTTAAAAACTAGGGCCAGTTATTCATTCAATAAATATTTTTGAGTATCTGTCAACTTCAAGATAAAGTGCTAAAATTAACAACACTGAAGGTCTCATTAGACATGCCACAGAAAAGTCTATTCGTTGGTTAAAAAAAGATCTTGAAGTGAAAAATGATAGGGTAGACAGATGAGTTAACTGGTGGACATGGTGCAGAGGAAGGTCAGACTCTTTCTCCTGGAGTAATTAGGGAAAGTTTCACATACTAATAGTATTGTGAGTTAGCTGTTAATAGATGAGTAGAAACTTCAAGCAGGAGAGTAACTGCAGCTTATAAGGGGAAGGGTATTTAAGAAATACTGAGAAGAGAGTACAGTGTGTGTATGTGTATGTGTGTGTGTGTGTGTGTGTGTGTGTGTGTGTGTGCGCGAGAGCATGTGTAGAAAGTAGTGGCTCAGGACAAGTTTTTGACATGAGAGTAGAATTTGAGGAAGTTTTAAGAAAGCTTTTGTAGATCATGTATAAAGGAGCTGTTGACTTTTTTCTAGTAGGCTCAAGTGAATCATATGATTTTAAAGTTAGTGTGAAGAAGGACTTTCAGTAAGGATTATTGATAGTCTGTCATTGTTACTAATATCTGTTCTTGTCATTTGGCAATCCTTCCAAAATGTCTGTTTTTGATTGTTTAACCTAGAACGTAAAATTCTTAAACTAATTTAGTAGAGACAGAAAAATCAGGATTTGGGAAGGCATTTTGGAAAAGAATGAGGAGAATTTGGTTACCGAGAAGTTTGTGTGTGTGAAGTTGGGAAAGGAGGTGGTTGATGATATCTTAACCACAGCAAAGAAGACTCGTAGGACTCTTTCAGGGAGAAAAAAATGATATGACAATTTTAAGTGTGTGTTAAGGAGAGAAGGAATATGTTTTGTTTTGTTGTTTTAAGTATATGTTAGGCTGGATCTAGTGGGTGGTCTGTAATCCCAGTTAATTTAGAGACCACTGCAGGATTGCTAGTTCAAGACCATATGGGACAACTTAGTTTCTTGTCTCAAAATGAAAAGCAAAAAAGACTGAGGTTATAGCTGAGTTCTTGACTAGCTCATAGAAGGCACTGAGTTAAATCCCCAGTGTTGCAAAAAGGAGGGAAAAATCTATAGATTAAAGCCAGGTGTTGTAACACATACCTGAAATCCCAGGCTTGGGAAGTGGGCAGGAGAATTAGGGGTTCAATATACACTTGGCTAGAGTGAGACCCGTTTTCAAAAACCTAAAAATAAAACTACCCAACTAGTTTTAGCAGTTTTGAAATTACTACTTTATATGGATAATAATTTAGACTTGGGAATGGATGGCATCTCTCACTATGTGTCTCAGTAGCTGTATGGTCTGAGCAAATTACCTATTTTCTTTGTCCTTGTGTTCTCTAATCTGTAGAATGGCCGAGAGAATAATTGTTTCTACTTCAGGAGAAGATTTTGAAGATTACTTTATGTTTCTACCTAAGGGTAGAGAGAATGAAGATTTATCTTAAATTTGACAAACTACTTAGAAGAATACAGTTAAAAGAATGGTAGCCACTTTGAATTTAAGTGGATTAATAGGAAGGAGGGACCTGGCAGGGTAGCACATACTTGTGACTCTGGAATTGAGGTTGCAGAACAGGAAGAGTGTGAGTTTGAAATCAGCTTGAGCTATGTGGGGAGTTGTTTAAAAAAAAAAAAAAAAGAATGAGATTGAGGGTCTCTCAGCTTTTCAGAGGAGAACAAGAAGTCATCCTAGAGAGAGTGGTAGCCAACTACAGTGAGAGAGAATTGCAGAAAATGACTGGAAGGTTATAGACATGGTGTCTACAAGAAGATCTTTCACACCCTACAACACTTTTCCTTATGGATCTGTGCCTTTTCATGAACTTGAAAGTTGAAGACATGAATTTCTTGGGTGAGAGGAAGCACACACATGGCAACAAACACAGAGAAAAAGACTTCTCAAAGCAAAGGCAGGACTCAGAAAGCCAAACCTCCTCCAAGATGTTTTCAAGCTCAGTAATAAAACAAACTTGGAGCTAATTTCTCTGATGTTCTCATTTTTTGGAATTGAAATAAGATGAGATGAAAGAGTGGAACTAGGGTGATATTTAAAGAATATTCTTGCT